TGGAGTTTTCTAAGAATCTTAAGATGGGCAGGTCGCCCGATATTGAGACCATTCCTTAGAAAAGCGTGGAGTTTTCTAAAGAATTTTTAAGAGGGGCCGGTGACCTGATATTGAAACCTTTTCTTAGAAAAGCGTGGAGTTTTCTAAGAATTTTAAGATGGGCCGGTCACTTGATATTGAGACCATTTCTTAGAAAAGCTCAAGGTTTAACAAATGAAACATACGTAAGTGGTAATCGTGCCTGCTCTCCCTTCCAATGGAGATTTCTAAGAATCTTAAGATGGGCAGGTCACCTAATATTGAGAGCATTTCTTAGAAAAGCGTGGAGTTTTCTAAGAATTTTAAGATGAGCCGGTCACCTGATATTGAGATCGTTTCTTAGAAAAGCGTGGAGTTTTTTTAAGAATCTTAAGATGGGTAGATCACCTGATATTGAGACTATTCCTTAGAAAAGCATGGAGTTTTCTAAAGAATTTTTAAGAGGGGCCGGTGACTTGATATTAAAACTATTTCTTAGAAAAGCGTGGAGTTTTCTAAGAATTTTAAGAAGGGTCGATTGCCTGATATTGAGACCATTTCTTAGAAAAGCGTGGAGTTTTCTAAGAAACTTAAGATGGCTAGGTCACCCGATTTTGAGAGCATTTCTTAGAAAAGCATGGAGTTTTCTAAGAATTTTAAGAAGGGCCGATTGCCTGATATTGAGATCATTTCTTAGAAAAGCGTGGAGTTTTCTAAGAATCTTAAAATGGTCAGGTCACCTGATTTTAAGACCATTTCTTAGAAAAGCGTGGAGTTTTTTTTAAGAAGCTTAAGGTGGGCAGGTCACCCGATATTGAGACCATTCCTTAGAAAAAAGCGTGAAGCTTTCTAAAGAATTTTAAGAGGGGCCAGTTACCTGATATTGAAATTGTTTCTTAGAAAAGCGCGGAGTTTTCTAAGAATTTTAAGAGGGACTGGTCACCTAATATTGAAACCGTTTCTTAGAAAAAGCATGGAGTTTTTCCAAGAATATTAAGAAGGGTCAGTCACCCAATATTAAGACTATTTTTTGGTGAAGTGCGGA